GACACATGAAAAAATGCTCAACATCACTTAGCATTTGGGAAATGCAAATCAAAACCACACTGAGATACCATCTCACTCCACTTAGGACGGCTAATATCCAAAAGGCTGAGAATGATAAATGCTGGTGAGGTTGTGGAGAAAAAGGAACTCTCGAAAAAAGAAAAATACCTCATTTATATGGAAAGTACATAGAATCAGATTTGCCTTTATTTTAAAGCTGCTGTCTAACCCAAAGAAGAATTTTTTATTCATTGGATACAATATAATTAATGTTAGAATTATATAATTATGATATGCATATTTGATGCTCTATTATTAGGCACATACACATTGAGGATTGTTATATCTTGGTGAATTGGCTTTCATCATTATATAATTTCCCTTTTAATCTCTACTAATGATATTCTTGTCTTTAAGCCTTCTTTGTCTGAAATTAATATAGCCACTTATTTTCTTATGATTAGTGTTTATATAGTATGTTTTTTTTTTTTCATCCTTTTACTGTTAACTTATGTGTCTTTAGATTTACAGGTGTATCACTCTTTTAAACAGCACATGATTGGGTCTTACTTTTTATCCAGTCTGAAAATCTCTGCCATTTAACTGGAGTTAATGACATTTGCATTTAATGTAAATCAGCTTTATTCTTTGAAGATTGTTCATTTAGCTTTTTTAGGGTGCCTCTTAGAATAAAGTAATCTGTACTCTAGATTAAAATAGCCTTACTTCTAAAGCATGGCCTACTGAGAATTCAAGTGAATGCTTATGTTCAATGAGTTTATCCACTGGCTGATTGGAACTATATTATCCCTCAGTCTGTTATGACTTCTAAAATGTCTGTTCAATTTATAGCTCCTGGATAGTTTTTCACTGCCACATCTATGAGATCTTGCTCCGCACAGCACAGTTTAGTATTTACCCAAACACTCAGGAAGACACTTGGATTTCTACACCCCCTTTCTTGAAATTCTCTCCTCTCTAGTATTCTGTCTTGAAAATTTCAGTTGCCACAGCAGCTCCAAATTCATATCTCCATCTTATCAGCTCATTACAGTACTACTGTGTACTGTTTGGGTCCCACCTTTCTGAACCATAGTCTGGAATGTTTCTCTAGACAGAAACTCACCATTATGGAACTCATGTGTATCTCCCTTCTTTTAAGGATTATAATCCTGCACTTCAGGTGTTGTATAACATCTGAAAACAGTTGTTTCATATAATTTTTCCAGTTTTTAGTTGGTTACAGCAGGAGAGTTAGTCTAGTACCAGTTAATCCATCATGGCCAGAAGCAGAAATTTTATAAAACATATATTTAAAGTCATTCTTTTTGAAAAATAAGGACATAAAGCTATAATACAGAATCATAGACTCTGAATTACGTTAGAGAAATAATCTAATCCAACACATTTGTTTGAAAGATGAGAAAACTAAGATACAGAAGCTCAAGTGCCTTGTAACGGGGGCGACACTGAGGGTTGCGATCCGTTGCCGGACACGGAAAAAAGACAAAAAAAATAAAAAAAATAAAAAAATAAAATAAAACATATATTTAAAGTCATTCTTTTTGAAAAATAAGGACATAAAGCTATAATACAGAATCATAGACTCTGAATTACGTTAGAGAAATAATCTAATCCAACACATTTGTTTGAAAGATGAGAAAACTAAGATACAGAAGCTCAAGTGCCTTGTAGCAAATTACATGATGAGTAATCATAAAGTTAGTTCACATCCAGGGTTTTCTCATTCTCTGTCCACTGTTCTTTCCACTGTCATCATCTTTTGAAAATTTCTTCTATGTTTAAAACATAATTTTACATTGTCAAACTTTTTTTATTTTTTAGAACGCTTATCATTTAAACATCCTCACTCCATTTTTTGGTTATGTAAATAGTATTGTTAATCATGCTGTTGACACAGGCATGAACAAAGAATCATTTACAAGTTTGTTTTAGAGTAATTGGCATGCTGTAGAAATATATAATTCCATATAAAATGTTTTAATATAATTGGGTTTTTTGTTTGTTTTTTCAGTTTATTTTCTTTGCTGTCTAAAAAGCACAACAAAGTTCTGGAACAAGCTACACAGTCCTTGAGGGGTTCGCTGAGTTCTAATGATGTTCCTCTACCAGATTATGTAAGTAGTTACCTTATTTTATCAGTAAAAATTTTTCCTTTAATTGTTAAATTTATAAATAACAATACCCCTCTCTTCTCAAAATGACTCTGCTCTTGGTGCCTGAGAATACTATGCAAATGAAAGAGTGATATCTCAAATCAAGGAAAACCTTTTAAGTGATTATTAACAAGTGTTTGAAAAAAATCAGTCCTAAACCACTGATAGTTAATAATTAGGAATCTTAATATCTAAGTCAGGGAACCCACTCAAACTAATTACACAAAAACAAAAAGAGAGATTTTATAGAAAACATGCAAAGGTATCTACTGAACTCAAGTGGAGGAAGTACACTTGGATTTCACAGAGAGTTAACTAGAACTTGAAATTGGAAAGCCATTAAGTTCAGGAATATCCTGTTTCTGTGGCCATTTAGTTTCTGATCTTTGCTCCATTTTGCTTCTGCTTTAATTTTTTGATGTTTTCTATCAGCCACATTTCTCTATTTGATCACTTGGACCTAAAATACCAGCCCCATCCCTTCCCCTTTCTCCCACCAAACTATAACATGTCTTTGTGAGTGGAGTGCCTTTAACTAACTGATCAGAGTCTTGAAGTCTTAATTCTCAATTCCTGGGAAAAAGTATCTAATGGGTTCTGCTCTCATCAGTGTGAGACACTAGTCTTATTAGCTGTGGTCCGTAGAGAACAGCAGTAATTTGGTGCCTTTGTTCCATACACTTAAAGGTGAGAGCTTATTGCCACCTCACCTCAGAGGGTGCTGGTGGAATAGAGTAGAAGCAGTATAGGGCTGAACGTTATGTAATAATAGGAACAAGAATGCATCATGAGTTCCTTTAAGGCATTGCTGCTATCTGACATGAAGTGCTAAAAATTATCTTACTATAAACCACAGAAGCTCATCAGGTTCTAATAAGGACCTCCCTAAATTGCCAGACAGCAATTTAGTGGGTAGATATTTAGAAGTTTATTAAAATATTTTTTTATTGTGAGTTTGAAGTGGCGATGCGTACCAGACAGCTAGAGAGTTGTTTTGCTTGTATCCTGTGGTTTGTTTCATTTCTAAGTAGTCGTGCTGATATGATACTGTGGGAACAGCACCCAGGCCGGATAGTCGCTGATAAAGATAGCTGTGTGCAGCCACAACCTGACTGGTGCAGTTTATTTTGTGTATGTATTAAAAATAAGGATATGTTTTTCTTAAAAATAAGGATATGTATTATGTTTTCTGTCATCCCATTAAGGTATTAAATTTGTTATTGAAAAAATATCTTTTAAGATTTTCCTGCTAAGTTGAATATTCTGAACTTTAAGAAAATTAGCATAATAGGTCACTCAGTTCTACACTTGCTATGACTTGTGAATAAGAAAAATATTTCTTTCTAATTGTCCTTGGAAATCTCAGCTGTAGCCAGGGTGGTTCAGTGGGGAATTATGTTTATTAAGAACTTAAACCTGGTTCATCTCTAAATTTTTTTTATACAATTATTATTTGATTTATGTAGTATTTCCGTGTTGTTTGTTTCACAAAAGTGTGTTGTTTGTATAGTCCTGAAGTTAGCCTAACAGCATTCTTTGATCAGAAATCTGTAAAGTTGATATTTCTTTGAGGAAATAGGTCATATTTAATGGTGTTTGCCAATCATGAAGGTAGTTATGCAATGAAAAGACAGTTTGAATCTGTAACAGACTTGTGCATTCTCCTATTGAATTTACAGCTTTTAGAGTTGTGGATTGTTTTCTTTTTACATGAAATTGTCACTAAGTAAAAGTGAATTTCTTAAAGCATCTGCTTTCTAGAAATACTGGGAAAATTCCATTTGGAATCTGTCACTGACAGTCCTTATTTTAACATTTGCATGTATGAGACTTTGCAAATCACAAGATTTTTTAAATGGGTTATGAACTTGAATTTTGTTGCCTTTCTCCAGAGTTAATTGAAGAGGGTGGTTAGCACTAACTGAGTAGTAATGCCAATAACTGTTCCTGCCATGGATCTGGAGTTAATTGAAGAGGGTGGTTAGCACTAACTGAGTAGTAATGCCAATAACTGTTCCTGCCAGTGATTAAAGAAAACAATAGTAACCTTAAAGGTGATTAAAGAAAACAATAGTAACCTTAAAAATAAGCACTGCAGTATGTTCTTCTTTCATGACAACTCTGATTTTTGGTCTTTCCCATTGCTCAAGAAGAAACTGTTATAAGTGATTTGCAACTTTGAAAGCATGTTCTTATTGCCATTCTCTTTTAAATTAGTCATTGACTGGAAAATGAATATGCTCCTTTTTTTTTTCCCCTTCCCTCAAAATTTTACTTGTTAAGTATCCTTGCCAACAACCACATAAGATTCTGTGTCCTGGACTAATGCTTTAGACCACATATTTATTAAATATGGAAAAGGAAAATGAAAGGGTTTTAATGCAGCAGTGGATTCCCAGATGTGTAATTTCTACACCAAGATTGAATGAACTATATTAGAAAAAAGTTTGAATAAGTGCTTAAAAATAAGGATATGTTTTTCTTCTCACTGTAGTACATAGAGTACTTTCAGACTACATAGAGGTTTCTGAGTTTATTAAGAAAATGTTTATCTTTATTATACTACATAATTTACAAGTCAGTTGAGTAACAATGTAGAAAGCAAGTTGCAATTTACGAAACATTAGTATTTAGTACTTTGGTACAACCACGTTTGTCTGAACAGCTCAGGGGAAACCTGAAGCCTTCAACCAAGTTCTAGATAATGAAGAAACTGCCATGGCTGCATAAGGGGAAATAAAACAAAAATTGTATTTCAGTCCTCCATGGGGAGAGAGAATGCCTGCTATAGAGAGTGATGGCTGATTCTGCAGCCTCTATGGAAGCAATACAGGTACTTAGGAGAGCAAGTAAAGTTCAGATGACTTGGCTGTGCTCTGGTGTCTTAATGTCAGGGCTTCTCAAAATTTAACTCAGTGAGTAAAGGGACAGGAGACAATTGTTAAAGGAGAATCTTTCAACAGTTTTAAAAAATAAGAATTAACCTTTCAAACAGCTTTGGTCATATACAACAGAACCTGAATATGGAAAATGAAACTAAGGTGATAAATGAGTTATAGAAGCTTTTTAAACTATAACCATGGTTTTAAAATATGAACATTGTCACTGTGTCATATGACTTTGTTTCCCTGGTTTCTAACAATCATCTTAGCAACTATTCGAGATGAAAAGAATTTAACTTACATTCTAGGTGGAACTATAAGGAACCAAATTATATTGACCTTTGATCATCAAAGAGCTTCTGAATTTTTTGGTAGGACTGACTATACTAACTACAAACAGTAAATGCAAAGGCACAGGCAAAAAGACCCTGGCCAAAAAGAGTCAGGAGACACAATCAGAAAAATCAGTGTAAGTATAAACAATAGCTACAAGTCTATTATTGACTTACTAAGCAAGAGTAATGCTACCAATTGATATGGATATAGGTGTAGCCCATTGGTTTTTAAAGTCACATTTTTACTTTTATACTTTCATGGCTGTGCATTGGAGTTGTCCAGAGACTACATGATGAGTGATTAATGTCATTGCTCTGACAGCTAATAGAATGTGCTTCTATATTTTCAGGTTTTAAATTTTCTTAGTTTCAATTTCTAATATGGTCAATACCAATACATATAATCCACATGAAAATATCATTTTGAGAACATCAGTGATTTGAGAACATCAGTATTAAAGGAGTCTTGAGACCGAAATGTTTGAGAACCATTGGTATATATGATCTATTATACACCCACACATCCACACACGTACATTTAAATATATGCTGTCTTGCGTTCTACAGTTGTGTCATTTGTGTTCTTTTCTCCATTAGTAGGATTGAATGCACTTTGAAGGCATAGACTGTCGTATCCTAAGCTGAAAAGAATTGAGTAATTATTAACCAGTTAATTGATGAGGATGAAACCCAACTCAGCACCTTTGTACACTCTGGCAGGTGTCCTAAATTGAAAAAGAGTCTTAAACCTCAGTCATATGTGTGTGACATACAATTAGAATTATTTGACCACTTTCTTAGTCAAAGATGAGTTTCTATCAGATGGTGGACATGGCTAATTGTTATGCTAAATTATCAAATTTCCTCATTAATTTTTGCATGATGTTTATGTCAAAATTGATTCTTTCGTATTTGAGAGGTAGTCATGGCATTTTTTTCCTTTTAGTTCAATACAAATGGAAGTTTGTCAACCTCTACTTGATCTGCTATAATAGTTTGCAATATTAAATTGTAGCATCCTAAAGAGTAAAAACCTTATATTTGAAATCTATTTTGATCAACTCATGATTGCTTGTCATTATCATTCTATATGAAACCCTAACATATTGCTGACCCTGGAATATGTCATTTATCTCACCTTTTGAGTTGATGGCTCTTATTAATAATTTTATACATTTTTTTAAATCTCTTTTTAGACATTTAGTTGCTTTGGAAATGTAATAGGGAATATCATGACCTGATTCCATATGATGAGAAATTTTAAATTTAGGGATTTTTCTGTCTTTCCCTCCTTTCATTTTAGGTCATTCTATCTTTAAGATTCTTTGTTAGTATTTACTCTTTAATTCAAATCTCAAATTCATTTGATTCAGTAGTTGATGGATAGATAATATTGAAAACTATCTTCACCTGTTTGGTTTGTACAGTGTTTGTGCCTTTACTGAGCCAGTGTTAAAATGCCCTCCTTATGCACATACACATAAATAAATACAGGTGTTCCTCAATTTATGATGGGTTTCATCCCAGCAAACCCGTCATATGTTGAAAACATCCTAAGTTGAAATGTATTTAATATACCTAAACTTCCGAACATCATAGCTTAGCCTAGCCTACCTTAATGTGCTCAGAACACCAATGTTAGCCTAAAGTTGGGCAAAATTATCTAAAACAAAGTCTGTTTTATAATTAAGTGTTGGACATCTCGTGTAGTTTATTGAATCCTGTACTGAAAGTGAAACACAGT